GGCCGCTTTTTGCAAACTGCGTAAATGAGGCGGACACGTGGGGCGAAGCCTCGTCCAGCTCCCCTCCGCCTCCCGCTCCCCTCCGCCTCCTGCCCAGACCCTTTCAGGGACAGTTAAGAAATAATGAAACGCTGGTGAAAGACAGGAGGAGAATGAGATGCCATCGAGAGACGCTTCTGAGAAATGGTGGAGATCTGGGTGAGATGGGAGACAGCTGAAACTGAATGATATGTTGAAGAAAAATAAACGATAACAAACCGCTTGCTCGCTCTCCCCATTCTTTTCTGGGAGGCAATTTTATATTTTGCATTAACATTTCCCTTCTTCTGTCCCACTTCTCTCCTGCTTCTGCTGCTATAATTTATCAGGATTACAATAAGCCCTCTGGCTTGTGGAAGTAAAATTACAGAACACCTTAGTTATATTTAAGCGGTGGCGGTGGCAAATCATTCCTCTATCATCACGTGGAGTTTTGGCTACTTATTGTGGTCATTGCTCTCTCATTTCAGCTTTATTTATTTAGTCAGAGTCAGGCTCGCTGGAAATGAAAAGCGACCCTTCTCTACTGATGTAATTAACTCCCATGGTCTTCGGCCCCTCTCCTGCAGAAAAGTCAAGCTAACTTCTAGAACCCAGGCATTTCTTTCATGCAAGGCATACAAGGAGCCGGGCTGTTTCTGATTTTGATTTTTTGACAAGTAGAATAAATTGATTACTTATAGCAGCCAAAAGCCTCCAAGTAAAGGCTAGCGTAATAGAAATCACTATTTTACTTAAGCAAAATCAATGATAAGTCTTTTTGTTTTCTGACTGATTCTTTGATCACCTGTGCTTTAAAAAAAATATTGTACTGTAATGCAAAAGAGACACTGGAAATAAGTGTGAGAGAAACTCTGCTTCCACTCAGAAATAAAATGTGCCCTCCACCTTGTCTCATCTGGTTGGCTCTACCACAGCTGTGGCCAGCAGCTATCAGAGGTCACTACAGTAATAAAATTATATAAAGTTAATAGTAAGCTCTTAATAGTTAAAGTCAAAAATTACCCACTCAGGTGTCAACTGCATTCCTAGGAGCTCACTATTGGTGTTGATGCCAACCCTCTGCTTCTGGAGGAGGAAACCACCCTTGCCTACCATGAGACTCATTCAAACAAAGAAAACTGGGGTTGGCATGTCATGTCCTCCCAGCTGCCTCCTTTATCAGGCTGGGGTCCCTGCAGCTCATCAGGCAGGTCTCTGTGGATGTGAAGAGAGAAGCAGGTTTGGGGTTAAGGAGGTCCAAAGCCACTGAAGTGAGTCAGGGACCTCAGCCAGGAGGAAAATGGAATACATATTTTATGCACCAAACTTCTTTCTGCTGAGGTTTTTGACAGTGCCCATCAAAATACCCCTTCCAGTTGCTTTTAGGAAGGCTTGTCTTTTCCTCTGCTCTCAGTGCTTCTTCTGGGTATGTAGACCTGAAAAATGAGTTGGTTTTTTTTTCTGTCCACTTTCCTACTATGACTCTTCCTCTGAGTTTTGGATGAGGGACTCTGGTGCTGTGGGCCAAAGGCTCTATGTTGTGCCTGACCTGGGGGACTCTTGCAGCTCAGGCCTGTGAAGCAAAAGTGTCTAACCCTGGTGGTCCCACCTTTGTTTTTGTGGGAAGCTCCTTTTTAGGGCAACACCATTTTACCCATGAGCTCTGTACAGATACACAGTTGCTCTTGCAGGAGAACTAACTTGGCTTTGCAGTTGAGGAGCGTGACCCTAGACTGTCAAAGAGGCAGGATGAGTGAAGTGATGGTCTCAAAGTATGGAGACATGCCACTGTACCCACTGTGAGCAATTGTGGGCTGCCCCTTCCATGGCCGCTCCCTGCAGCACATCCTACAGCGCTCGAGTGGTCTCATGAGTAGCAGCACATAGTCATGAAATTGTTATGAAACAAGCATTTAACTCTGAATTACAGTCCCATTTTGGTTGCACACTGGATTAAAACAGTTAACACACAGCCTTGGTCAAGTTAAAAAAAAACAAAACAAAGCCTTAGCTGATACCCGCAGCTCATTTCAAGAAAGCCGAACACCTTCATTTCCCTTTGGCTGTTCTACCACTTGGGATTTGACCCTGAAGTGAAGGTTGTGTCTTTCCCTACCTGTTTACTGATGCAAGTTTCTACTGTTTTACTGATGCTAAGGGCTGGAGATCTGTAACAGGATTATTTCAAAGCACTCTGAGCAGAAAAAGGATGGGAAGTAACTGACCCTCGGAAAAAAACCTAATCAAAACAAAGACAAAGGGCACAACAAAAAATAAGAAACCCAACATTGCTGCAGTATATACTCCTCTGCTTCTAGAAATCACCACGAAGAGAATATTTGTCAGTATATAGAAAAATACCCAATCTAGACACAGGCTATCAATCACTGAACATGCCCGTGTTGAAGGTACCGTCAGGTACTCAAAGAATAAAAGTGTGATTCATCTCTATCTTCTGAGCAGGGGCTAAATCTTGCTCCACTTATTCATGGGAGCTGTGCTCCTGTGATAACTAAAGCATGCAGGATTTGGCCATGAACTGCCAATATTGCTCTGCACATTTGGAGTGCATGATGAGAGCTAAGATTGGCAACTCTCCTCTGTAATCTAAACCACTCTGCAAGCATGCTAGCCATAATTTGCTGCCCTAAACATTTAACCCCAGCTAGTTAATTTAAGCTTAGCTCAGTTGCTCATGTTTATGGATAAAGAAACAAAAGGGAAAGCATCAAAAGGAAAAGATGACTGTGGAATTCAATATTTCAGCAGCTGTTGATAGGTAAATGTTATTGAAGTGTGGCATTCAAAACCAAAGGCCTGCATTTATGATAATGAGCCTAACAAGGAAATGAGATTGACACAGCAATTCTCTGTTTTTGTTGTCCCCTGAGGTTAGAGATTATGCAGCGCATGGTGCTGTTTTTAGCCTCTTTGGTGATTCCAACTGTGAGAGACAACGCTGTGCATATTTGTCAAGGTTGCACTTTAATCAGGTGACTCAGGAGCTTTTTGAGGGAGAACATGAACTGCTGGTCTCACTTAAACCTTAATCCACATCCTATGTCAGAGATCCATCAGCCAAGCTGTGCAGTTTTTAGCCCCTGCTTTTCCCTCATGCTTACTCAGTGCTCTGTGAAAATGCTTCAGAATAATTGAAATGTATCTATCACAGTTACATTGTATTTTGAGAATTACTGGAATGTTTCTCAGTGACATTAATTGGTTTTAAAATATTTTTGTCTTTCTAATTAGTGCAAGATTGATGAGCAGTGGAAAGGGCATTTATACACAGGCAGACACATATTTCCATGCTACATTTGTGTCTTAATAAAATGGTAGCGAACTGGATTCTTGTGCTGAGTAAACATTGGCAAGAAAGAAAATATCCTGTAACTTCAGGAGGAAATATCCTGTGTTTTAAATGGGATCACATTGTGGAAAAAAAAAAAAAAAAAAAAAGTTGGAAAATGGATAAATGAATTATTTAAATATAGTTAAAGGACACACAGGAAAAAGTAATGGCTTTGATACCCAATGTAGGGAAAATTATTAATATTTTAAGGAATCAATTGTGGACACATGGAAAAGCTTGTTTTAATTAAAGATAGCTTACATAAAGCAGTTTGAAGAAGGGAGAAATAGTATAGGATACTTGTTTATGAGAAATTTTTAGAAATATGTCATGCATAGAAAAGATGACATAACATAGTCTGAACTTTCGTCTGCCCTAAAAAAGCTTCACTGTCT